CAGCTGACCTGTGGAACTGCTTGCCACTTTGCTGGGGGGAAGTGGAACAAAGGAAGCCATGAACTGTGAGGAAAACTGCACCCTGGTCCCCATTCTGGCATGTCCCCAAGGGCCCCTTCCCTCGAGGGAGGAAGAGGGCTCACTCATTGACCACTGGCATCCCTCAGCCTGCCCTACCTCACCAGCAGGCATCCAAGTCACTCCCTCATCCTTCCCTCAACGCCTACTGCTGTTACAAGATTTCGGATTTCTGCCTTGTTTCCAAAGCAGCCAATCACTGCTCAGCCATCAGGCCTTGCCACCAACCAATTGGGTGCAGGGGACAGAGGGCAGTGGGAAAGAGGTCAGGGATACACCCATGATGACCACATGACCTAGACTGACCATGGTCATCATGGGTGTATCATGGTGGATTATCCCACAGGAATAATCGGTCCCGGATTTTGGACACATTCTGTAAATTAGCCCATTAGTTCAAAAATTGTTACCCTATGAAATTGTTTCGCCCAGTTTAAGGTTACAGACATGAGAGTTTTAGTAGTATACAGATTAATATCCCGTCTTACTTATCCTGTTTTGTGTGTGTGTGTGTGTGTGGTGCCTTCAAATAAATTTTGATTCCTGGTGAGTGCCTGGATTAATTCCTGCAGTTTTCTTAGCAAGATTTTCAGAAGTGGTTTGCCCTTGCCTTCTTCCTAGGGCTGAGAGAGAGTGACCAGCCCAAGGTCACCTACCTGGCTTCCATCCCTAAGGCAGAATTAGAACTCACAGTCTCCTGGTTTCTAGCCTGACATCTTTAACCACTGCACCAAACTAACCGTCTCTCCCACTCCATTTGATCAAAAAACCAACCTCACTTCCCATAACACTCTGGCCACATGCCTGTGTGTACATGCTGTAGAGGAAAACAGGAAAACGGGACAGATCAGGATCTGCAGGCAGTTGGCAGGAGATCAGCAAGATTCAACAACAGTAGCTGCACAAAGTCTCCCCTCCCCCTTTTAAAGTACATTGCTCAAGAATGTTAAAGCTTTGTAAATTAATCTAGTTCTGGTGGGAAAAAAACCCCAAATATCTAGGCTGTTTGTGCTTTTGTTCCACAATCTATGCCTGCCTTCCTATTTTTCACCTAGTTCCCCAACACGGTCTTTTGATTGTAGCAAGAAGCCTCCAACAGTCTGTGCAAGTCAAAAGTCTGCTTGTTTCTGAGAATCATTCCACACCCTTACCTGTATTTGCAGGGTAGTAAAACATCAACTCCCAGGATGTTTTGTTACATATACAAGGCACGAACTCTTCAAAATCTCAGGTGTTTCAGTGAGATAGGATTAAGCAAATGCTTAAGTTTCTCATTTAAATCAAGTAGGCACACATGATTTCTTCAGGAAACTGCAGAGAGTACGATCCAGCACATTTTAGTAGGAAGAAGTTGTATAGCAGAATGCACAATGTTGTGGCAGCTGGCGGGTAGAATTTTTATTCTTTAGGCCACTGAGGGTTTGGATGGACCAGATGTAATATTATATAACATCACCAAAACAAGTAGGAATAGTGTTTTGCCTCCTTTCCCCCCTTGAAGTGTTTTGAGATGGATTGTTAATTTTTAAATGGACTGGAGGAGTAATACACAGTCTTCCTTTCCAACTAATATCCAACAGCATATCTTGATGAATTCCTGTGACTGTACAAAACAAGGTTTGAAAAAGATTATGGACCTCAAGTTGCCTGCCTCCCTATTGCCAACTTGTTTCTGATACTTCTTTGACCATGAAGTAGCTACAGCCATATAAGCCTACCTAAGCTTTGCAATAAGCATCTGAGATTCTGCTTCCTGACCAGTAGCAAAGATTTGATTAATCTTTTAGGAGTGGCTGATCTAAAAAAGAAACTAAGCAGAATTAGAACTGATTTGTACTTGAAGGTGCCCATGGTTGGGAGTGTGACACAGTGATGTAAACATCCCTTATTTACCTGCACATGATATCATGATGCGAGTATGATGGGGCAGCGCTTGTGCCATGATGTCATGATGTATGTTTTGTCATTTTTCATCATTATGGTTAGGAATGGATGCCTGTGTTTGGATGGGAACCGCCAGGAGGTCCCAGAGATGGATGCAAGATTAGGAAGCGGAAGAATTTCCCGGATGAAGGAAATGGCAAACCGCTTCGGTATTGCTGCTGAGAAAACTACATGCACCTGTCCATGAAATCTCCAGAAATCAAACTCAACTCAAAGGTATACCATTACCTTTGGCGGTAATAGTATAGTATTATGAGGAGTAATATCAAGGAAAACAATGTGTATAATTTTTCAGAATGGTGAAGGAGGAGAAGGAAAGGGAGCAAATTATAGTTGTACTTCTAATACTAGATTAGCTCCATTATGTAGGAGGATTAAGTGCTGGCAGACTTGTTGCTACCTTATACTCTTGACACTTATTGTCCCATGATTGTAATGACTGGCCCCAGGAAAGAGCAGCGGGAGAACCTTCTGGCCCTCAAAATGTTGCTAAGCTACAAATCTCCAGAAGACCCAGCCAGCGTGCCAGATGTTGAAGGATAATGAGAATTGAAGTCAATGAAGTCTGGAGGTAGGGGAATCTGCAGGAGGGGTTCAACAGTGTCCAAATGGTGAATGTGACCAGACACTCAATGCCCGCATCCTTTTTAATGTGCGTCACACATACTGCAGGTATGTAAAAAGGAATATGGCTTCAATTGCTAAGGTTGCACCTGGCATTTTGTCCCTGTTGACCCCCACTGACAGAGGCTCTATCTGAAGGGTTATAGGTTCTGCCCTCTGAGTTATACTTACTCATTCAGCATTCATGCATATGTGATAACTTCACCCAGTATGGAGATATAAGAATGACATTTGGTACATATGTTCAGAGCATAATTCTACATTTGAGATCTGAATTGCAGCATGATCTGGGGGACAGATGTTTTCAAAGGAAACAGGCAATCTATAACACACATCATAGTGAGATATCTCCCTTGAGCACAATACAGCACTCGCCACATCATTTTCCATTTTAATTTCAAACATCAGATCAATTCCTCTGCTTGCTGTCCTAGAAAAGAGTTGTTCTTGGTGAAAAGACACTGAGTAAGTTGTGATAGAATTCAATTATTGAACTTAAGGGGACACAAAGCAGTGGGAATATCTCCTGGACAAGGCCGTTTAAATGAATGGAAGTGGTACAGAAGCATTAAACTGGATTTGTGCTCTTCTTATGAATGGAAAAACCCATGCAAACTCATAACAAAGCCTGAAAAATAAAGTAATCATGTTTTAAAGCTGTTGTGAATCATCTACTCAAAGAGAAATGTAATTCCTCTGGGGTGTAAACCTATCTATTTGATAGCGAGCTCACATTCACCAGAATATTTTCCCTTCTCATTTCTTTTATTTGACTAAAATAACAAAGTGAGAAGTTCCTATTATTTCTTTTCAGCCACATGCTAGAAGATTATTAAAGCTCAGCTTAAAAACAAGAGCATGCTGTATGTCTTCACAGCTGGCTTCTCATTTCTGCCCTCCTTGCCAAAACAAGATTATATTTTTCTGCCTTTCTTCCCCCCACCTTGCCTGAGTGAGAAAATATTTCCCTGTTTCAGTGGTTGACTAAGATGTAACAGCTAATATTTTTTTCTGTTGAAGACGTAAGTGTCCCCAAGAATAATGTGTTAAAACTTCCAAGAAATTGACTCTGGGAATCATAAAGAAATTGTCAAAACTTCCATCCACTTCCCAAATTTCATTCACATTTCATATTTATTTCTGAGATGGAACTCAAAGGGGCTGCCAGCCACTTAGCAAGGAGCTGTTGGGAGCCAAATTCAATAACGTCACGCTCAGACAAACTCATTGGAAATAAAATATTCTTCATCCGTGGAAATCTTGAAACTGGGATGGTACTTAGCTATTTTTGCTATGCACTAGTGTGTTTCTCTTTAGAGGGCTGGCAAAAGATGGAATCAGCTGCAAGTAAAATGGACATCCAAGTTTGGGGCAGAATTGCAAGTGCGGTAGTTGCCAAAATTGGCAAGCCCAGGCCACATCCATTCCCTTTCCCTCATAAAGCTGAGCAAACCTTGCTCCTGTCACTTCTCCAGGCCCACATGCTTGGTGGAGGTTGGCATGCTTGGAGAAATATGGAGGAACATCATAGCTTTGATAGCCAAGAGGTTGCCAAAGAAAGAAGTGAAAGTCTGTCTCACCACAGATGGATGCAGCTTTGTTCCCCTGCATGAAAACAAGGAGAAGAAATTTTGGAAACTTGGGGAGATGCAAAAGATGAAGATGAAGCTGCATTTAAATTAGTTAATTGCATTTAAATTAGATAATCTGTTCTGATGGCCACAATTATGCTAACGGTGACATTATGAAATTTCCAGGGAATGTCTCTTTAAGTCAAGAAGTTTTTCTCTTCAGGAAAATTGTAGCTTCTTAGCTAAAAAAAACCCACATAAAATATATTTGAAGTAGACTGATACACTTGGGAAGTCAAACCAATCCACCCCTTTCCCCCAGTAACTGTGAATTTGTTGGCTATTTTTTAAAAAAGAAGATTATTTATGGTTTATTTTAGACACCAGATCATTTGATGCTTGTGTCCACAATTTGTCACTGTTTTTATTGTCACCAATTGCCCATAACTGGAGTGCATTTAAAACAACATTGATCTTGATATTATGGTGTCATAATATGACAGTAATAGTTGTAGCCTGTTCAGGAAATCCAGTTGCTAAGATTGATGGCTTCACTGTACCAATTATATTCTGTCCCTCTAAGTGATAAAGAGAGTGTTGGAGGCATTCAATAGACAAATTAGATATCTTTTCCAATTATTTCTTTTATTTTATAAGGCCACATGTTTGATTAACAACTTTTTACTTCTCTTATTAGCCAGCCAATGTCATTCACGCATTTCATGTGTTTTAATTTTATGGATGTAATGAAAAATATTGGAAACATCCGCAAAACTGACAGGCTGTATTGGTTCTGTTTCAGTGTGCGTGCAATTTATTTTTATAGACCATGGACATTTGGTTTCTTCTCTTCGGTGTTTAAAATAAGTCCAAGTCTAGTTTCCTCTGGCTCTGGAAGGAATGAAAGAAAATGCAGACATGTTTTCCTTCAGCACTTGCTTAGTTTTTATTTAGAATAACAGCAAGCATAAAACACATCTGGGAGAGGAAAAAAACCCAGTAATGAAATTAATTTGTTACAGAGAAGACCAGACAAATGATACAAAAGCAATGATAACAACATAAAAATATATCTCCTCTTCTTAATAGCCATTAAATGAACATAAAATGCAATTGTAGAATTTATACAAATAAATTAACTGGCTGGGGCTTAGAAAGGGAACTCCAGCGAGGCTGTAGGCATCCTTATTTGCTAACTGCCACTCAAAAAGAGATCAGCACACTTATTCTCAGTACAGTGTGGTTGAAATTATTTTTATAAAAGGTTTCCAGTAGGTCAGAAGATGGTCATGATGTGGCAGAAGCAAGTGAGTAATACACTGAGCTAAGACAGAATCATCTTATGGAAAAGCTAGCTAGTTTAAGCCTGTGAGTGTAGAGGTGGGATCGGTAGCAACAAAGTTCTCCTGCAGTTTACTAACCTTGAAGACCTAGCTCCTTTCATGGGCCAAAGCATCAGTCTAGCTTAGGAGAGCAAAGAGGCGTCTCCTCATCCCAGTGACTCTACTAAATAGCGTTGGTTTGCCACTGCTGTTGGCTTTACTGCTGCTGGGAGAAACAAGGAAGCTCCTTGTTCCCTTTCCTTCTCGCAATTCTAATCAAAATCTCTGAGGAAACCAGCAATATTGGAATACATTGCTAGGGGAATGGGGGGACCCAATTCTCTTCGGTCTCAGCAATCTGCATCAGAAGCACTGAGAGGGAGAAGCCCTCCATCCTCGCAGTCCCTTTGGAGAATGTTGTGTGTCTATGTATGGGGATGTGTGTAAGTGCATCCACACAAACATGACTCCCCCAGCCTCTCAGTGGAGCAGCCGATCAAAATATTGTGAAATTCTGCCCACATGGAAGAGACTAAAATGCTGAAATGCAGTGGCCGTCTGGAGTCAGTCTGAAGCTCTTTCAGAGGTCGTGTAGATTTGTCAATGGCTGTAAATTGCCCCCCTCCTCACATGTTCTCCTTGTGTCATCACTGGATGTGTGCAGTCATAGGCATCCTGGCTTTATCCTTCTCCAGTCATGTGGTTCTTGCCAAGCAGAGGTTTTCTGTTAGTGCCAAACCATGCCATGGAAGCAGGACAAACCCAAGACCTGATCATTGCATGTGCCCATTGACATCAGTATTGAATATGGGGAAGGAGCCTTTTGATGAATCTGTATCCATGTCTGGATGAGCCCTTAGACCAGTGTTTCTCAAGCTCTGCAACTTTAAGCTGTGTGGACTTCAACTCCCAGAATTCTCCCAGCCAGCACGCTGGCTGGAAGAATTCTGGGAGTTGAAGTCTGCACAGTTTAAAGTTGTGGAGCTTGAGAAACACTGCCTTAGACTCTGGAATTGATTACCTTTATTATTTTCTGGGGATGGGGGTGGGGAGCAGCTTCTTTAGATGGTAATGTACATTATATTACATTCTGAAATATGGTAAGTCAGCCCTGCTATAGGTGTGTCTTTAGACCTGCGGTATCTTGATTCAATTCTCCCATTCACTCTCACCTCTGGATGGAGGATGAAGGGCTACAGTTCCAGGACTGTTGCCCCATGTCATTTATATTATATGTATTTATTGACTGGCTGTCAGCCACACTTCTGGCCTATTTCTGCATAATATTAACCCCTGATATGTGCCATGCTGAACGAGCACCTCTCTCCATCTGGGGAAGATCTGGAAGTCTTCTCTCTGAACATGAATTATACATGTGGATACAAGAAATGTGATCTACCATGCTTGCTGGATTTGTGGATCTCATTATCCTCCCAAGCTGTTGACAAACGTCCTGTGTTGTTAGACTTTATTAGAGATCGTCCTTGCCAAATGTAACACCACACGGGGTTGCACATATGGCGATACAGACACAATATCCTGTCCTCGGCACATGTGCTGCAGAACATCTGAAGCCTTTGTGGGGCAGGAATGTGCATCCTTTGATGAGGTTCCTTGCCTGGAATGACAGAATGGAGATCCAGCCCTGAGGCAAGAGGTTTCACATTCTGTTCCCCAGTCTGTGAAACTATTAGCTATTCTCTCTAACTCCATAGAGATGTCCAATTCCTCTTTGAAAGTTGCTGAAACCGTTGTGATGAATGAACTTTTAATGGAGAGGAATAGGTCGGCTTGTTTTAAGTGAAACGTTTATATGGAAGTGGATGATTTAAACAACTTTAGCTCCATTAAACAAAAAGGAAAGCTTGATCTTAAAACTCTCATTTGTTTTGGAGAGTGTCTGGCCTGGGATAAACATGACATTAAGTAGCCATCTGAGCATTGCTAAAACATACATTTGCCCTCATAATAAAATGTTTTAAAGAGATAGTAATGGTTACCTTGAGAGCGGTTCATATTAGAAGCATTTAAAAGGGCGGAAAGATCCTAGTCCTGATTTCTTTCAATAACTGTCCATCAAATGCAGCAGCAGGAGCAACAGCACACTGCAAAATGGAAAGCGCCACTGATTTATTTAGTAGCAATCTCTATGTCTCATTTAAAGTCACTGGCACTGAACATTTAAATGTAGAAATGTTAAATCTCCCGGCTCGCTTCCCTGTTCCCTCTTTGCTTAAACTGCAACCAAAGCACAGATAAGAAAAGGGGGTATTGAAGGTATTCCAGTGGCATCTGTGTTACATTCCTGATATAGCCCATTTTAAGTTGAAGTCTCTAGATAACAAGATATATGTCTCCTGTTCTAAAGAGAATCATATATGCCTGTACAAGTTGTGAATTACAGGCAAGGTATTCCTTCCAATACAAGGGCAGTCCTGCTCATTTCGGAGGAATAAGCAATTGCCATATGTTCTTCACGGAGTACTTTGCTGCTGGTCACATTTTAGTGATCAGTCAAATATGGATCCTTAAAGCAGGCTGAAGTTATAACAACCATAGCAGCAGCAGCAGCAGCAGCAGCAACAACAACAACAACAACGATGACGACGACGACGACGACGATGATGATGATGATGATGATGATGATGATGATGATGATGAATCTCAGGCAGGTATGACACAAGAAGTAAGACTGGCATGCTTGCATTTTAGGAAGACCAAGAAAACTCGGGGATATATAAGCACAGATTCATAGCTATGCTGTAGTCTGATACTGGTTTTCTACAGGACCAGTTTCTTCAGGACCAGTTCAGAAAATTGTCTCAAGGCTGAAAAAAAACCAGTGTGACCATGCCAATGATTGAGCACCTTGAATGTCACCCAGCTTTATAATCCATGTCCACTTTGTAGGTGATAGACAGAAACATTACGAAGGAAGGTGGACCCTCCAACCTCCCCTGGTGAGCTAACTGTAGTATTGGGTCTTAAGTGAGCAATAGGACAAAGACATTGTGGGGAAAGGCATGTAACATGAACCCAATAGCAGCTTTGGCTGGGGGTGGGGGCACCAGCTTTGGAAGAAATTGATTTCAGAGAGGGAAGGGAGAAATGGATGAGGATAGTGGGCTTGACTCTATTTGTCCCCCTCCCCACATGCCACACTCTTGTTCTAATTTGCCCCTTGGAAGCTTTTGCCCTTTTTGTGAGGACCAACAAGCATTGGAAACTCGGCAGGGTTAGGTGCTGATGGGGGGACAGTGGATGGAGAATGGAACTGCGTAGCAGATTAGGGAAATCCACATACATTGCCAGTCATTTTCTGTTCCCTCCAGAATAGTAGGGCATGGTAGGTAGGTAGGTAGGTAGGTATAGATAGATGAGAGAGAGAGAGAGAGAGAGGAGAGATTGATTTACAGTTGGTTTGAGGGGAGGGAGTAAGAGAGAGAGAAATGATCCATTCCATGAGGAGAAAAAGAGTTTTCCTTCTCTCTCTGAACTACTGTATAAGAACTGATTTTGGAATAACCTTGTGTTCTTCTTCCTTCTCTGTTTCATTGCATGTTCTGTCTGTGTGAGCTCAGGAATCTTTTTTAAACTCTTGGGGAAACTTTTGAGATATTGCACAGAATAAAAATGCTTTGAATAGAGAAAAAGCTGAGGCCACAAAGATTGGCTCTTCCCCTTCCTTTCACTGCAGTGAAATGCCATAGTCATGCTGAATGCATAGAAAGTGACGAGAAGGATCCCTCTCTGAGATCCTGGAGCCATTACTGGGCAGAGTAAATGATAGTGGGGTAGGCAGGCAAATAGTCTTCCTTGGTATAATGCAGATTCCTATATTTCTCTGTTGGACAGGAAGAACATTGCCTCTAGTTCCTCTAATTTCATGCAGGCAAACCTTGTCCCATAGTGGCCAATGCTAGTACAGTACTTAATTAGGAAAGTGATCTGAGCACAGCATCCCCTTTCTTTCTAAATCCCAAAATGTAAACAGATGCTTCCAAACATCTGTTCTCCTAAAAGCCTGTTCAAGTAAAAATAACTCACTCACAGTGGGTATCAATGAGACTTTCCCCCTATTGCTAACTGTACTGCTGGTAAAGTCTTCAGAGAGATCTTAACAAGAGGTGGAGATTCACACTTCTCCTCTGTCTGTTTTATTGTAAATACATTAAAAAAAAAAATCCCCTCCACTCCCCCTGCCGCCCACTATGTGCTTACTATTAAAAAGACAACCACTCTCTGAAGTAATAGATAGCAATGCATTTAGTGTCACATGTTGGTATGGCCTCTGTTTGCACCCTTGGGCATTTCTGGAACCTGTAATTTTCATTGTCAAATGACACACTGTATAGGAATACATTGTACTTTGATCCGTTTGTGGATATACTTCCGCAGAGACATTTCTTTCACCTTTATCAAGGCTCAGGGAACAATAGCTTCCAGTCCATTTTCTCGAGCTAGGAGATTAGATCTCAAGAAGATTTAGATGAGGGATGTAGCTCAGGGGTAGAACACCTGTTTTGCATGCAAGGTCACAGGTTCAGTCTCTGACATCTCCAGGTAGGGCTAGAAAAAAAGCCACAGAAAACCCTGGTTTGTGAGCAGTGGTGGACGAATGAACTGCTTTAGAAGTTCCTATCAGAACTTCTGCCAGCCCAAAATATGCGATGGCCGTGCAGCACAATCCAAGTGGTACTGTCTTCCGTTGATTGAGATGGAGTGAAATCCACTTGATTTTACAGGTTCTTTTGAGATTTACTGGAGCTGCATAAGAGCACAAGAAGGCAGTGTCGGCAGTGCTGAGGGTTTATGACTTAGGGTCAAATTGCATCATGTTATGTTATGAGATCGGCTCAGAATTTTCAGTATAATTTTCTTTTTAAAAAGCAGTCATTGATGGGGAAGATTTTCATGTTTCATGATTCTCATCCAAATTGGCTCCCCAAGAGCTGTTCTTATCTGTCAAGAGGTAGTACAGTACGTTGTATGCTTCTGTGTTTCCTCCTCAATGACCAAAAGCAGCTTTAAGGGGAAGGGACTTTCAGATGCAGAGATGGCATATGGCAATGGATTTAACCTCCATGTTACACTCCTAATCTATAACAACACTGATCCCCTGAAACAAAACTGCACTGGGCTTTCCACTTAAAGTGCCCACCAGCCTGCTTGCCTGGGACTCCTGCCTCTTCCCATGTCGTGGTCACATGAGGTCCTCGCTTAATGACCACATGATCCTGGGGTTAGGATGGCAACCAGGACTGTTGAGATTGCTGTCACTAAATGATGCGGTCATGTGACGTTGTGCTTTACGACATCGCTTAGCGACGGAAATTCCGGTCCCAATTGCCGTCATAACCCAAGGACCACCTGTAACATGAAGTTTGGCCCTTAGGCTGAGAAGACCTATTCAGCCTCCCTAGGCAGCTTCAAAGCTCAGTCACTATCTCTCCATCTAGCCGACCTTTTAAAAGCTGTTACGAGAAATAAAAAAGAGTTACAGTAGATATCATAACCTGATTTCCTAGGATTAAAGGTGGAATAAAAATATAATATGATGCGAACTTCCCAGTGGATTGTAACATATACCTAAAGTCCAATCTAAATAGTTCCTATTCTCTGCTGCCACACCTCACCCTGAGACATGGCACGGGCCGCCCTGTTAGTTCTACATTATTGTCCTGTTGCTAGCATTTGTCTCCTTTCAGCGGTGAACTGTCCTGATATTTTGTGCTTCCATTCACCAGAGAGTAATAAAAGCCATTATTCTTTTGATAGCGGCAGTCATTTGGGGGGAGGGGGGGTTAACCCTTTACCTGCTTGGCAGAGTGAGCTTGGACTGCGAAGTTTGGGGTGCTGCACTGATGGGGCTCGAGTCATGTGAGCAAAGGCTATCCACTCATTTCTTCTCTCTGGAAGGAACCAAAGGAGGAAGAGAAAACTGAGCGAGGCGAGGGGTTGCTGTTAACGGAGCTAATGCCTCTGGGAGATTTATAGCAAGGGAGAGGAACTGCCTTGCATCCTGTGATAAATTAAGGGGAGAAAGGAAACTTCCACAATAGCCCTGTAGGAGGAATTTCCCTCTTGTCTGTCCAGAAGGGGGACTTGAGGGAAAGGGAGCTTCATTCCAGCCAAATGTCTCCAGCTGCAGATCATCATAATTTTGAAGAAGAGGACTTACGTTTTATTTTTGGTTCCTATGAAGAAAATCTGGCTTGTGAGAAAGGAAGGAAAGGGGGGCAGGGCAGGGCTTCTCTTGGCACGCATCCTGACTAGATCTTCAGTGGAAACAAAGAAAACAACGTGCCTTTTGCACCAGTGAGATTTCAAGCCAGAAATGCACGTTTGTTTGTAAGCCTGGTCCGGATGCAGCTGCAGAAGGCAGTGGAGAAGAAACCCCCAGATTAAAAGTGGCATGACAGGAGGGTGCAGTACAGACCTGTCCTGGCTCTCTTATCAGCATTTATTTCAGCCACGTGTTGACATTTTGGATGTTTCAACTGATCTCATTGCACAGATAAAAACAGGGAGACACATGAATGCCCCTACCTTTCTGTGAAAGGTCAGTGCTGAAGGGCCTGTTCTGGTTCCATAGGTCTAAAACTCCACAACAAGCTTTCTTCCAATAATCAAAATCATTGTTTCTCAAACTTGACAACTTTAAAATGTGTGGACTTCCCAAGCATGGCTGGCTGGGGAATTCTGGGAGTTGAAGTCCACACATCTTAAAGTTGCCAAGCTTGAGAAACACTTAAATGAAGAAAGAGGACCATGAAAAGCAAATGTATACCAAGTCAGAGCCATCAGTCCACCTAACTCAATATTGTCTATTCCAGAAGCTGGTAACCTGCAACCCTGGTAATCCTCAGCCTCATTTCATGCAACTCTTACCTAGTTCCCAACCCCCCTGAAAACCGCAATCCAGACCTTTGGCCAGAATAATCTACCCTAGCCTGTTGGCTGGAGAGAGAGACAGAGACAGAGACAGAAAGGTAAGGAGAAAGAAACAGGGGGAAAGTACGGGGGGCGGGGGGGATCAATTACAGTACTCACCAAATAATCTGGAAATTAGTAAACTTTTTAAATCCTTTACCCCAAACTATAACGGCTGCCTTTCTGCAAAAACTGCTAGTTAAAATCATGAAGCCAATGGTGCTATCAGGATAGGAGGCGAAATTCCAAGGCCCATTTGAAAGAATGACCAAGAGAGGCCTCCAACATCAAGGGCTAGTTAAGCTCATACTGGAGCCAAGGCTACTAATGCATGGTACCATCGAACGAGCTTCCAGCTCCATGCAACTTCAGTAAAAAAATGAGCTAATTGCTCTGCTGCTCAAAGTACAAGCAGGCAATATTAAATAGTATCAGAGTAAGTCATAACTTTATTGAGGAACAGTGCTCTTAATTACCTATCACAGTGGACTGAGCTAAAGGCTGATAAGAATAGGGAGATCTTGGAACAAGACTTGTGGCACCATTTGGAGCTGAGCTCATCTGGGCTCTGATCTTAGTTCTGTGTCCCCATGACTCTACTTTTAAAGAAATGGGGAGGGGCAACTACCTAGCTTTGGTACGCCTAAATAATCCAACACCTCTTTTCCTTCTGACGTAGCTGAAGCTCTGGGATCGGGCCAAAGGATAGTTGCTTGTTGTGTCATGAAATGCTTGTTTCCCAACCTCGGCAACTTTAAGATGTGCGGACTTCAGCTTCACCTGGTTATGCCAGCAGGTCTGGGGACCCCAGGAGACAGGAGAATTCGTATGTTGGCTCCCTTATATTTAACATCCTTTTAGTCCCTGTTCTATTTTGATGTTTATATTTTTAACGTATTTAAAAATACATTAGCTTTGTTGTATGCCTCCCAGAGTCACCTGTGGTGAGATGGGTGGCTATATAAATTGGTTTAATAAATAAATAAATTAAATAGACTCCCAGAATTCCCGGCTGATCAGTTGGGGAATTCTGGGAGTTGAAGTACACACGTCTTAAAGTCGCCAAGGTTGGGAAGTACTGCTTTAGAGGACTCTTTTTCCTTTACCTCTTTCTGGCCTGCCAAAAATTGAATCTGAGCCACTCACTGTGTGAATTATGTCACTTTCCCCCACCTCAAATTAAAGGTGCCTCTCTGTGGCCCAATTTGGCATTGCAGCATTTCCAATATTAAAACCAAAATGACAGCAAACATCGAATTGCCAGAGCTAATACAGTAGATAGTGTATTTCTTAAATGTTGTAGAAATAGCATTCTAATATTTTGACGGCCAGATCTTGGTCAGCGTGCTTAGATTTAGTTCTTCTGGGTCAGAGCCCCTTAAATTTCTACTGGTTCAGCTCGTGGAACAATTTCAGACTATGCACTTGGAGACTGCTAGACCTGTTGAACTGGTCCCTGAAGAATCCATTTAAAAAAAAAAAATCACTTTGGTTATTCAGCTTCTGCTGTCTATACCCTTGTCCAGTATTTTTACTTCCCTGTTTTCTGTCACTTCTAGGGGTCAGTTCTTTTAAATTCATCTATATATTTACACCATACTTTAGCAGCTTGCCTCAATTTTATTTCTCCTTTCTGGCACTTGACCTGTGACTTATCCCATTAGTGTGCAGACCACTGGCTTGGCTTAGTGTCATGCACTAGACGTTTATATTTCTGGCACAGGCTTTTCTTGTACCCCTTTTGCTGATCTCTGCTGTTTTAAGATGCCCCCCCCCCACTCTGAATATTTTAGGAAAGGCAATCATTTTGGGGTCCTTTGAGACATTTTTGCTGTCCCTGCAGAATAAGTTTAAATCTTACAGGGTTCTGACAAGATGCCGTGATATTACTCACAAAGATATAAATTCAGGTTCACATCTCAGGTGGGGTTTATCTCTTTTGATCTGGGGTCCCTGACCAGAGGCATCCTTCTGGAGATGTGTTGTCTGTATGCAAGCCTTCTGTCTCTCACTATCACCGACCCAAAGAATTTGGGGTGTTCTCACTTGGACTATAAGAGTCTAGCCTTAGTTTTAGTTGTTAATCAGTGGACCTTCTTAATAACGTTGATTAGTTCTACATATATTTGGGTGTGTTCTGCATTGTTGGGCGCACTCAGGGTCAGGCAAATGCCTATGGCATTTGGACCCTGAAATGGGGCTCCTCCCCACAGACAGCACTGTCTTCAATTCCTCACACATACACAGGAAGACTGGCGATCAGAGTCTACGATTTCTAGGTCTGCTATCTGCCACATGATTAGGCTAACCGCTGCCAAGCTCTCACTCCCATCAAATGAAATATTAAACCAGGGTCAGCCCTACTAAGTAGACCAGACCAGGAAGTCAACTCCACCAGAAGGCTAAAACTCCTTTTATTGAGATTGGCTAGAACAGTGTTTCTCAACCTTGACAACTTGAAGATGTGTGGACTTCAACTCTCAGAATTCCCCAGCCAGCCACACATTCCACACATCTTCAAGTTGCCAAGGTTGAGAAACACTGGGCTAGAATAACAAAATCTTGCAAGTCTGATTGTGCTGTATCTCCTCTGATTTCAGTGAATCAGGGAAGGTGTCCGCTTCCAAATGTTATCTTGCTTTTCAGGACCTAAAAAGTATTTCCGCCCCTTTTGCCCCGGTAACAGTTCTTGCATATTTCCGTCAGGGTCACCACCCTTACTCTCTGCAACCAGTCACTCCCTTGCTCTAGCAAACCCAGTGCCCTTATTATCTCTTCTTAAGCTACCAGTACAGGGGAATGTACCCATTTGGGTGGCTGTCTGCTGGTCTCTAAGGTACTGTTGAATGCAGACAAGAGCCATCCAGTCAAAGCTGTGCAAGTGAAACGCATGCAAACCGTGCTTACGTTCCACACTGCAGAGGTTCACTGTCTGTAGAGAGTGGCTCTTCTAGTTGTGTTCAAGGAATTGTCAAGAACCCTGATGCAGACTTCCTGTTTCTGGGCATCCTCTCTGATGTTGTCATGCCATGGAAGATGTGGAACATATTATAAGGAATGCTGGGAAGTGTTATTGCTAGGGTTGCAAAAATCTTGAAAACCACCAGAAGGCAGCAAAGATGATTCCTGATAGATATGAGGCAGTAATGGTGGCCCACTGATAAAACAGACCTTTCCAGAAAATTATGGGGAATCCCTTAAGCGCCCCCAGCCATGAGGACCATCCAAGAGCAAGACTTCTCATAAGTAAGCTGCGTTTGGAAAATCCCCTTTTAAAAATCATACGGGTATATGTTTCCAATTTCTCAATACTGGCCATGTGCCTCCACTCTTTGAAGGATTATCAGAGGACAGGGCCTCTATTTGAAAATGTGCTTTATTTGAAGGGCCACTTTGGGTTTGGTTAAAAAAAAAAAAACCCTTTAAACCGTGTCTTCTTAAAAAAGAAAACATAAGGAAAGAGAGCAGGGAAACCTTAGAAGTTCCCCATCAGCTTTTAGCATCTGCACAGCAGACTGTGCAGACACAGAGACCACCTACTTTCAATTTTTCCCACCATGTATTACATTCCTATTTAAATTATAGGAATGCCTCTATATTTCCAGCTGGATATTAGTAACAATAATAAGATTTTGACTTGGTAAATCGTTTACCTAAGTGCAGTACAAGCAAAATAATAGCAGTTATTATGCACATTGTAAATTTGTATGTTTGGTGGCAGGGATGGGGGTGAAGTGTACATGATCACCCTGCTACCTCTCAGTCGTGGGGGATTAAGGAAGTCTTCACCGAGCTCTGCAACAGCCAACCAGAACTTTGCATGCAGAGAGTTCACTGGGCCATCCCCGGCACGTTCAGGGAAAAGGTGAACCGAAAGACCTCTAGCTGAGGCCTTGTAAAGTGCCACGAAATACACATTCCTGGACAAGACAGACAAACGTTCCAACCAGGTACAAGGTTGCTCTTAATAAGGAGTTCAGGTAATTGTGCCTGTGAAAATAGCCATGTTAGAAAGATCCTTTGGATTGAGGGCTGGGTTAATTTGACCCATATCTCCCAAACAGCCCAAACCAATGGGGATGGGGAAAGGAAGCCTCAAGAAAGGATAATAGTCTCATCATTGTGAACTGTCTTTGTCCCCATGATAAGATGAAGATCCCATGAATGCCACGTGGCACATCTGCTGCTTTCCAGCCACCCTTTTTTTTTTTTTTTGGCCTCAGTGCAGCCAATGGAAGCCCACCGGCCTCCCCTCGCTGCCCTCATCGCACTTCCCTTGACTTCCCGGCTTGCTTGTGTGGTGGGAGGCACCTTTGTTGAGAAGCTTCCTCAGGAATGCTGGCCAGCTCCTCGCCTCCACCCCGGAGACGCCCCTGGCGCAGAGAGAGGAGGGCTCGTGACAGCCCGCTGAGTGACTCGCTTCTGTGAGAGGAAGCGAGGGCGTCCATGGCTTCCAAGCCGTGCTTCCCTTCGCTGCACGTTTCTAACTGGCAAGGAAAGAGCAAACAGAGGGGGAGCATTCAGAGGAAGTGCTGGTTTATCAGGCCTACTAGACCTGTCGTGTGTGCAGGAGCGTCATTTGGCAGGCACCCATCTTCTATTAGTAATAACAACATCAATAACAATAATAAAATCTGGCTCTTCCTAGAGCCATCAGTTCTTAATCCAGCACAGACCCCATCCAACCACCTGTATAACCTACACTTGGTCCTTTCCCATGATTTTATTAACAGCATTTTCTTCGGAATTTAAATGAGACCTGAGATCAGCTGTGTTGTTTTTTTTAGATTTTTTATCCCGCCTTTATTGTTTTTATAAACAACTCAAGGCGGCGAGAACATACCTAACACTCCTTCCTCCTCCGATTTTCCCCACAACAACCGCCCTGTGAGGTGAGTTGGGCTGAGAGAGAGTGACTGGCCCAGGGTCACCCAGCCGGCTTTCTTGCCTAAGGCAGGATTAGAACTCACCACCCCCTGCTTTCTAGCCTGGAGCCTTCACCGCTAGACCCAACTGGCTCTCAGTGTTTTCCGTATATGAGTATAGCAGAACCGAAGCCATGGCAAGGAAATAGGTTTGAACTTTTGAACAGGAATCCTGTGAGGCCAAACATTCCTCTAAAGTGATCAGTGAGCTTGATGGGATCCCCACATTTCCAAAAAGCCACGATTTCAGAGATGCTTGGACGGATGACGCAATTCATGCCCTGCAGGGGGGGAAAGTTCTGTCCTGATGACAACCTGTATTACTCTGAGTTGGATAAGGACTACTAAAAAGAGATATTCATTCATTTCGACCTCCCTGAGCCATTTCGTTTTAGAACTCAACCCCAGTCATTCTCGAACCATTTCATAAATTGTATAGGATTGAACCG